ACCATGTGTTGCAAAAGGTCCCATTACCAACAGATATTGTCAATGAAAGGGATTTTAGTAGACCAGTTACAATCCTTTAGGCAGGTGTAAATTTGACAGAAAAAAAATATATATATTATTTTATTAATAAAATAGGCAAAATTGCCCCTAATATCATGACCTTTTTTTAAATTACAATTTAATCACGACATTTTCACTTTTACAAATTATATCACAATCATCAGTTTGTTGCAAATCGGTGCACGGGTTCTGAAAATCAGCCCTAGAAATAAACAAACTGAAGATTGTGATATAGTACAAAATAAAGATTGTGCTATAATTTGCAAAAGTGAAAATATCGTGATTAAATTACAATTTCAAAAAATGTCGTGATATTAAGGGCAATTTTGCCATGATAAAATAATATAACTTTTGCAATTAGTCTGAATTTTAGGGTTAGTGTGTGTAAATTGAGCTGAACCAATTTAACCCTACTAGTGACTACACCGGAGACCAGGTTTTTCACCGTTAGATCAAGAAAAAATGTGCAGTTGATCCAATGGTGAAAAATCCAATTGCCCATAGGCTGATATATGATGATGAGATTTGCTTCTCAGGGAATGCCTGATTGGTCAGAAATTGTGAAGGAGATTCCTCCAATGGAAGCATTTTTGAGCAAGCTAGAAAGATAGTGAACAAACTTTATTCATATTTCTAAGGGGAGTTTTATTGATGAAAGTAGGTGTGTGCATATTTTCCCCGTAATTTTGTATGCTAATTATGAAATCTAAAATTTGTTTGTTTGAAAAACTTTATTTGTATATTTGACTAGATATATCTGATTAAAAGTTTTTCATTTTATTCTGGGTATATTAACTTGTGCACTTATTGCTTACGTGTCAAGATCTTGTGATATTTACTGTCACATTAAACTTGTGAAACTAATCTCTCCATATTTACAATTTGTAGAATGGAACAATTGTCAAGAGGAATTTGTAGTAGAATCATTTTTATTTTTTATTTTTTCAATTATGCTAACTATTATTTGAAATGGCTTTTACTTTTAATTTTTTCTATAAACAAATTAGAGAGAACGTTGATGGATATCATTTTCCATGGTAGGTATTGAAAGATTCATTGGCTTTTAGGGATCCAACTTCTCGACAGCAACGATGATGCTCTTGAACATATACAACAAAGCCATAAAAAAATTTAGTCACAAATACTATATTAAATCAATATTTTATGCCACAATTGTCTGCAGGAATCACATCTGATACCCCAATTTTCCTCTTATTAAATTATTCAAATCTTCGTGGGCAGGTTAAATTGCGGTTATTTTAATAGTATTTACTCAGGTTCAAGATTGGGACAACTCACCTATTTGATGGTTGTTGGGCTTGTCCTGATATGAACAAATTATTAAAATCTTTTACAATTTTTTGAAGTATTCAACTCTAGAGCTGCCTAATACATATATTTAATTTATTCGCTTCTTTGTTGTCATATTTTTTAAACAAAAATTTAAGTTAGTATTATAAAATATCATAGTTGTATTTATGTTATTTTTTATTATGATCCTTTAATAAAAAAAAGTGTACATATTTGTTAGAATAATAAGAACATTTAATATATTGTTATGCATAAAAGCAACTTTAATAATAAGAATCAATGTTTAATCGTTATTTCTGCATAACGACAACTTTACTATTTTAAACGATAGCTTGCCTAATAGGCAGCTACAATCTTTTAACAAATATATATACTTCATAACATATTCTTAAAAACAACATAAATAAATATATAATATTTTTTGCTTTTTCATTTCATTCAAAACAAAATTTTCTCGCTCAATAATGTGTGTTTTACAATTTATTTAGTGAATTAAAATTTAGCGATCAACCCCGTATTGATCATAGCACAATATATGATAGAGAGATAAGGGATATTTGTTTCTATTATGTAAGTACTTTTAAGATCTAATTGTGTATAAATAATATTTAAAGACCACAAACAAGTGAATCCCAAGCAAATAAAAAGTAGAAAAATTAATGTTAAGCAGGCTAATGATTAGATAATCATATTTATTTAACAGAATTATATGCTATCAAATAAAAATCATTATACTAAAAAAAACATATATAACATTTGAGTGTATAACAAATACATAGATACTCCACGCAAAAATTTTGTGGAATAGAAAATGCAATGGAGTGGCAAATTGGTGAATAATGAGAGTATTAGCACCAAATACTTAACGCCACAATTACTTAAAACGGGCCTGCCGGTCCACTCTGTGTGCCTTTGCCAATTAATCAAACAAAACAAAAACACCACCAAAACATAAAAAACAATTAAAAAAACAAAACAAAATGGAGAAATCACACCTTCTTCGCTTCCTCATCGCCGCCGCAGTTCTGGCGGCCGCCTTCCTCAACACCGCCGACGCCGGCGAAGACTTCGACTGGATCCCGGCGGCGACCTGCCGGGGATCGATTGCGGGGTGCATGGCCGGCGATGGCGGCGAGTTCGAGCTGGATTCGGAGAGCAACCGGCGCATATTAGCCACCACAAAATACATCAGCTACGGTGCGCTGCAGCCGAACAATATCCCCTGTTCGCGGCGCGGCGCGTCGTACTACAACTGCCGGCCGGGCGCCGAGGCCAATCCGTACACGCGGTCGTGCACCACCGCCACACGGTGCCGGAGTTAAATTATTAATTGCTTTTTAACCTAATTAATTTTGCTTTTCTTTTTTCCGTTTTTCTTCTTTTTTTTTTTTTATTACAAAAAATGCTTGTGGTGTTTATTGCTTGTGTATTATAGATGGTAAATGATTGCAGGGCTAATTCAAGCAAATTCGACCTTGCTGGTGAGGACACTGATCTCACTGAATATCTGAATGTACACACTTTATAAGAATAAGGGTTGAATTTGGTGTGGTTTTACATCTGTCATCATTTGGTGTATTATGATTTGCTAAATTGAAAGTTTTATATCTTAGTTGCGTGATTAATTTCAAGCTCCATTTTTTAGGTACCGTAAAGCTACGGTTGGGCACACGGAACGGCTAAAAACATACGTATTTTTTCAACAGACTTACTTACTAATAAGTGTCAATATTTTTATTTTTTACTGTTGAAAGATTTGAATATTCACACTTTAAAATAATAATAATAATAATAATAATAATATGTCTTGAATTCAGTGTCATTTTTACATGTAATCTGATTTGCTAATTTTGTAAGTTTATATCTTAAGGTTATATTAGGCAAACCAAAGGTTAATCATACTTTACTGTGTATTGATAGCTTTACTGTGGCCCAGCTTCTTGGAAGTTTATTCATTGATATTCAAATGAGTTAGGAAATTGTAAAACTCCGAACAAAAAGTTTTGGCTATCATTGTAAACTTCTTTTTATTATTATTATTATTATTATTTTGGAAATTTTCCAAATTTTTCTTTTAGAATAATATTAGGCGTGGTCTTCTGTGAAGGGGGAAAAGAAAAATCAATTTTATGTGAGGATTTACATTTACCAAGGAAGACTCGCCCCAGTCGTACAAAATATGTTGGCTAATGCAAACCAATACCTAAATAGAGGGTAAAAGATTCGGTCAAGTTAGGAATGGACAAAATTGAGCTAAATAGAGGGTAAAAGATTCGGTCAAGTTAGGAATGAAAATCGTAGGATTATTTTAATTTAGAATATTTTCAATTTGATTACGGTTTATTTTTTTGGGTATGTAAACTCCGAAAACAAATTGTTAGTTAGATATCTATTTTTCAAATGTTGCGATGTAGTGTAATTATTTTTGTTCTTTACAAGTTCAATTTTGGGTTCAATCAGGTTTGCACGAACGAACTCCAATGTATAAAAGAGCATAAGCAGAAACTAACAAATCAAATTGACTTGTGCAATTTTTTACGATTCGATTCAATTATTTTTAAATGTAAAATAAATAATTTATTTGTATATATTGCAGTGCAAGTGAATTTTAAAATATGAAACTAAAAGATCCAACTAATAATCGGCAAGAGACTAATTTTTGCTTATCTGGGTTTTTGCTCGAAGGAAAGCGACGAGATATAGAAAAGAAAGAAAAACATTTGCTGGTTTGTAATTTTTATATTTGGTAGGAATGTCATGTCCACAACTCACTAATTTTTCAACTTTAATCATCATCAACTCATGAAAAAAGTTCCAATCAGTTTTCACCATTAAATTTCTACTGACAACTAAAGAAATGAAATATTTAACCGGAATATTCGACACTAAACTATTACAACAATTTTATGTAAAAACATAAAAATAATTGCATGAGTTGAGTTTTATTCATTAAAACAATGTTGTGAGCACAATTTCTATTTACATCATTCGACACTTTTTCTCTTGATGTTGTTTTTGATACTCGAATGTGGCTTTGTCGATTGAGTCGGTTTTCCCCAAGTTTGATCTTGAATTAATAAAGCTAACTAAATTATCTATTAATACTAATTAAAAATTAATAAAATTATATATAAATTCAAAGGAAGTTTGTAAATCAAAATCGTTTTAAATACTAAGTTAAATAGTAGCAATCGTTAGTTAAATTGAAGAATTTAGTTAATTATTAACTATTTGTACTGTAAACTCAAATTACGCATGCTACTGTTAGATTTGAATGTTTTTCACTGGGCTTGAGCTCCTGACATGGGCTTTAAGGCCTAATCTTAAAAGCAAATAAGTACCGTTTAGATTAGGCTTTGGTTGATGGGATATATAGTTGGGCCATGTTGAGGGATCCGGCCCGTTACTGCAGCTAAAACCCTTTCTAATTCTCAGCCCTCACGAACAGAGGTCTGATAATTTGTCTTATATAAACGCTATCGGATTTCTCCCTCATTCAAATTGGTCGACTCATTTCAAGCAGCTGACAGCTCAGGTATTGAGCTTCATCTTCGTTTTTGCTCTGTCTTTTTTGTGAAACCGTCATGCTTAATCGTCTTCGTTTTAGCTTGTTAATGCAATTTTGGGGTTTTATTATCGAAAAATGATATTTACTGGACTTTTTAGATGTTCATGTTGCTCTTGCTTTTTGTTTGGCCAAGTAGTTGGGCATTTGTTTTAGGAGTTAATAGTTTCTGGGATTTCATGCGTTTGTTTTCGTGTGTTCTTATATTTTTTAGCTAGGTGATTCTTTTGTGAACTTTTTTTTTTTTTGGGTGAATTGGAATTACATCTGAACGGTTGATTTGTTAACAGTCAGCGTCTACCAGGCTGTTCATAGTTGATTGGGAGTATTGTCATCAACATTCTTTGTGAACTTGTAATATTTGTTCTCTTCTCATCTATATAAAGTGAGATAATTTTTAAAGGTCACATTTTTATGCAGTTCAATGGCTGGTTCTCTGCTCAATAAGAAAAAGAAAGGTGCTAAATTGTTAGATCCTCCTCCAAGGAAGAAGCAAAAGGCAGAATTGACTTTACAGAAAGTAGCAGAGAAAGAAGACTTGCTTAGTAGTGATTCAGATGACAGTTGTGAACCCGAAGAACTTGACGAATCTGATTTGGAAGAACAAGGTAACGGTGACTCTTCTTCAGAAATGTCATCTGATGGTGACGATCCTTTTGCCCATGATATACTCCTCGGAAGTGAGGATGAAGATGATAAAGGTACTTCCTTTACCAGTGGTGTTTTCTAATGTTAATTAGCTTTACATCTATTATAATGTTTACTTATACTCATTTCTCGACTAGAGGAGGATGCTGGTGCAGATGCTAGTGAGGATGCAGATTCAGATTCTGACGAGTCTGATATCGAAAGGAAAGCAAGAGCCATTGATGAGGAAAGGGTGCAGGAACAAGCTGATGGAGAAGCTGAATTACAGCTTAACATCAGAGAAGAAGCTGATGAGTTCACATTACCGACTCCAGAGGTTTGGATTATGGGACATTATGTTTTATTTATCAATCCTCTTAACAAGAAATTTTCAATGTTTATTATTATTTTTTATCATATTTTTTTTTTTTTTGATAACGCAGGAGCTTGAAGAAGAGGCGAATAGGCCTCCTGATCTTTCCAACCTTCAGAGAAGGATAAAAGAGAGTATGTTTGGTGTGATACATATTTTGTTATTAGTTTGAATGGTCTTTGGTTTATATCGAGATTTGGGTTATTATTTCAGTTGTGCGTGTTCTTTCGAACTTTAATGCTCTGAGGCAAGAAGGGGCGTCACGCAAGGATTATGTCGATCAGCTTAAAAGGGATTTAGGTTCATACTATGGATACAATGAGTTTCTGATTGAATCTTTGATTGAGGTAGTTTTACTTTTTTACTTGCTCTGGAAATTGCACCACTTTTTTGTGATTTTGATTTGAAGTTGCATTTAGTTATTGATTTTTTTCTTCCCCATCTTTGTTCAGATGTTTCCAGTCGTTGAACTTATGGAACTTATTGAAGCTTTTGAGAAGCCAAGGCCTATATGTCTTCGCACGAATACTTTGAAGGTAATTTAAAAAAAAAAAAAAAAGAAACTTTCCTTAAGCTTTAGCAAAAGATCTGTTATGAAACAAGTTGCATGGTGTTAATATTTCACTAATGATATTTAGACTCGTCGGAGGGATTTGGCTGGTATTCTGTTGAACAGAGGTGTCAATCTGGATCCACTAAGCAAGTGGTCAAAAGTAAGATTTTGCACTTGGTTATAGTAATTTATCATAATTTATAATGTGAATATCACATTTATTTCCTTTTTTTGTTCACGATACTCAAGAATAATTATGAAATGGGCATTCTTTTGTGTTTTCTTGTAGGTTGGTTTGGTTGTATATGATTCACAAGTTCCGATTGGAGCCACTCCAGAATATATGGCTGGTCACTACATGGTACATTCTGATTGTAGGTTTTCTACAATTTAGTTAATTTTACCACATAATGCTTATGGGTTTATTTATTACAGCTTCAAGGTGCAAGCTCCTTTTTGCCTGTGATGGCCCTTGCTCCTCAAGAAAAGGAAAAAATTGTTGACATGGCGTGAGTGTTTCTTATTTTTTTCGTAACTGTTTTGATTTTTGTAACCTCTTTGTTTGCATATCTGTTCTGTTTCTACNTAATTAAAAAAAAAAATGAAAAAAGAAATCAGTTTGCAGCTCTAATTTTATCTTCTTTTCCTCCATTTTTTCTGTTTCACAAGTCAAGCATATATTGTTCTTTAAGCCCTTTCACTCTTGCCGTTGTTTTAGCGATGAAGTTTTCGTTGTCATAAATTTTGGTTACCTATAAAAACGGAGTCACACTTCTAAATCAGTTATCTGATGATTATGATGTATACATGATTGTAACTCTAGTGTTTACAACTTTACCCTTCTGATTTGGTGTGTTTGTAGGGCTGCTCCTGGTGGGAAAACTACCTATATTGCTGCTCTTATGAAAAATACTGGTGAGGAACTTATTCGAATCAAATAGTGAAGGATACTTCTTTGTCCTAAATAATTTAGAACCTTATTCGTGTCGTGTGATTCAAAATAGAATTGCAAAAGGTCTTATTTCTTTCTTTCACGCATCTTGAACGGGAAAGCCTTTTTGATTAAGCTAATATGTCTACTAAATATATTGGAAACATATATTTGCAAGAAATGGGTTTTTTGTTTACTGAAATACATTTAACATTAAAAAGATGAGTATTTTTGCTCTTATTACATTCATAATTAATTGCATGCCTCTTGCCAAAAATAAAAAAGGACCAAAAAAAAAAAAGAACAATAAATGAAGTAAGGAAGGTTATACTTATACCTGACTTATAGGTGTAATGGTCATCATTCGATGTGCATGTTTCTTTCTTTTATTTTAATAGTTTTGCAGAACAACTGACACGACTTAAAAATTACCTCTAAAAAGGTATCATTTATGCAAATGAAATGAAGGAGTCGAGGCTCAAGTCACTCACCGCCAACATTCACCGGATGGGCGTAACGAACACCATCGTTTGTAACTATGATGGGAGAGAGGTGATAATCTTGCTATATATTTCCTGCTTCTTTGCATACCATGATTTATTTCTTTTTTATCTTTTTTTTTTTATATGTATAAAGTTTTTTCTCCTTTTGGCTCAATATAATGTTTATCTTTTCTGCTTCAACTGCAGCTGCCAAAAATTTTGGGTAACAACTCGGTTGATAGGGTTTTACTGGATGCCCCTTGCAGTGGCACTGGAGTATGCAATCGAGCTTCATCCATGGAGTCCATGTTTTTCGAATTCTTGTTTCATCACCATTGGAAGAAGAGTAATGCAGTTTTCTTTTTCCTTTAATTTTGTAGGTTATATCCAAGGACGAGTCAGTGAAAACCTCAAAAACTGAACTAGAGATACAAAATTGTGCCCACCTTCAAAAGGTATGTATAGTTATGGGGATTTTGGTTACTTGGAAATGAAAACTTTCTCCAAGTTCCCAAGGCTATGTTTGGTAACCAAATAAGGCAGCTTATAAGCTTCCTGTATTTAAATAAGCTTCGTTTGGTTGGACGAGTTTTTTAAAAAACTTGAGCTTATCTGCATAAGTTGTCTTTGGGTAGCTTTTCAAATAAACGCGTTGAATTATTTATTTCAGCTAGCTTATCAGCTAATTTTATCAAACATTTTTATCATATAAACTAGTTTTTCAGTTATAAGTCGTAAGCTATAAGCTCAAAAATCATTTATAAGCTATCAGCTATCAGCTAGTTTTACCAAACATAGCCCAAGTCAGTGTATAGTTTATCAGCAATTAATTTTTGTGTTCTGTGGTCAGCAATTAATACTTGCAGCTATAGATAGCGTGGATGCTAACTCGAAATCAGGTGGATACATTGTTTACTCTACATGTTCTATAATGGTTGCTGAGGTCCGTAATTTCTATGAACATCAATTGAATAGTACTTATAGTCATAAAGCCTTTCCTATTTATTTATTTTTTCCTTTTTTCTGTTTTGATTTTCAAAATCGGGAGTTTTCAGAATGAAGCTGTTATTGATTATGCCCTCAAGAAGAGGGACGTGAAACTTGTGCCTTGTGGGCTTGATTTCGGGCGTCCAGGGTAATAACCGCTTATGATTGATTATCCATTTAACAGTTTTATACAATTTGGATCATTAGTAATTTGACACTCTTTTTATTTATATTATTATTATTATTACCAGATTTATTCGATTCAGGGGGCATCGTTTTCATACATCTCTAGACAAGACAAGGCGCTTTTATCCCCATGTCCACAACATGGATGGGTTTTTTGTAGCTAAGGTGTTTTTTTTTTTCAAAATTATCGACAATTTTTCTGCAATATAACAGTTGTAGTTCAAAATTATGAATGTACAATTTGAATGTACATTTCTGTAATTTGTCTTCGAGCATATATTGTGTTCATATCTTGATTTTTATGAATGTACATTTGCATATGCAGTTGAAGAAAATGAGTAATCAGAAGCAAACTGCACAGCAGCCTGAAAATACAAGAGAAGAAGAAGATGAAGCACCTGGATTTGAAGCAAAAAATGAAGAGAAACATGTTGAAGAAGATGGTGAAAAGCGTAAGAAGAGAAAAAAGGTTGAAGCAAAAGAGAACAAAAAAAGCAGCAAAGGCCAAAGAGAACAAAATAAGGCGCCCGAAATTAATAAGAAAAGAGAGAAAAAGAAACCACCATCCAGAGAGGAAATTGCAAAAAACAGGTAGATTTTCTGTAGCTTCCAGAAAAAAACATCATTGTTTGTATTAAAGAATTTTAATGGTCTTTTAGACAGAATTACAACACGTACATGCACCAAAAAAGGCGTGTTTTTTCCTTACGTTTCGGTCTAGTTCTTACTTTTCTTCTTTTGTCGATTTGCAGAGAAGAAAAGAGGGAAGCTTTGAGAGAAGCAAAGAGGAAAGCTAAAGCAGAAAGCAGAAAAAAGTGAAGAAAATACCACTGGCATCATATGGCCAAAAAGTGTGCAATTGATAAATTAGATTCAACTGATAAACATCCATAGCATGTCTTACGATTTTATTAAGGTCAGTTTTCGTAAACTTTCTAACAGATAATTTGGAGACTCCCTACAAAAGTGTATCGTTTTCAATAGAATCATCAGCTACTCTGTATCGATATGTCTATGAATTAATCATGAAGAAAGCAGCCCCAAGTTATCACTCAGTTAAGTGAAATCCATTTTTTTTACAGATACAAAAATGAATTGGCAAAATGATGATGTATGGTGTGGAACAAATGTGCACCATTGCATTTATTTTTATTTAATTAGTCCTGTAAATGCCTTTTTTTTCCTTCAAAAAATGGTAAGAAATTTATATATTTTTTATAGCCTTATAGGTAGTATAATTATTTTGGTCAATATGCAGTTTGGTTAGTGATGCATACACGGCCTAGATAAATAATATTTTAGAGTGACATTCTTGTATGAATGAACTCTTGGGATGATAGATCTTCATAACAATATTATCAGCAAGAAGAAAAAATTAAATAGGTAAAGATAAAAAGAAAGGAAAGAGAAAGATAATCAAAGAATAGTTTTTTTCTTTTTTTAATATAATTACATTATTATATATTAGTTTATCAATAGTAATGAATACTTGCATTGTATGAACCTTACCATATTTTCAATTTACCCACTTTTAGTAATATCTGAATCATTCATTAAATGTAGTGACAAGTTTATTTAGAGTAAATATAACTAATATATAAAGATGTCATATGATTTGAACATGTTTACTCAAATTATTATTTTTATATTCTAATCAATGACCATAATAAATGAAATCATTACATATAAATAATAATAATGTAACTTTTGATTAAATTTTCATAGCATAATGAAGTAATGAACGATTCTTTTGGTTTTGCTAGAGAAATCGTTCTGAAATTAAATGAGAATCAAAAGTTTATTCAACAGCAAATAAAAGTAAGTTTGTACCAAACAAAAACAACCCAAAATTACATAAACAACTCACAAAACCGAATTAACCTAATTTATCATTTCTTAAAACCGAACCAACCAAACATTTTTTCTAAACCGAACTAAAATAATTTATTTTTTCGANTATGGACATTAAGTATGAAGTGTAAGTGAATAATTACTTGAGAAAATAAGCCATTTTCGTCATATGAAAGTCTCTCGATACATAACAGCTAATTACTGAATTCATTCTTAAAAAAAAAAATGTAGGTCACGCTGCATAATTACAATACAAATCATAGCAATACCAAGCAGGTAGCTGTAAATTAATCTTGACTTTTTTTACTATGAAACGCGCATGCATGTTGAAAATATTTTGTTTCTTAGTCCAAAAATTACTAATCCTCCTTCACGCGCAGCTTTAAAATAACAATTATCTTGAATTCCTCTTATTTCTAATTTTACTTCTATTAAGTAAAGTTATAACTATTGCTTGGGCACTCAAAAATTTATCTAGCCAAGTTGAGCTCAAGTCATTAATTAAACGAGTTCGAACTCTTAACTTATTTATCAATATTAGTGAATCGAGTTCGAGCCTTAAATAGTTTAATTATAAAATTTATATAGGCAACTTTTGTTCGGCTAGTTAATTGAACGAACTTTTGATGAGTTGAGCCAAACAAATGAACGACTCGTTTCGTTTAACAACTCTACAACCAAATCATGTCCTAAGGCTTTTAAGGTTTTAAAATACAAGAATAGTAATAGCCTTGACTATTAATTAACATGAGAAGAAGATGATGTTTCAAGTGTGATGGGAAGATGATGTTTCAAGTGTGATGGGTATTTTTTAATTCAAAATTGCTAGAATATACAAAAGTATGATTACATTTTCATCCCATTGCATTGTGGTAGTTTATTTTTTTATTAATAAAAAAATAATAAGTGGACAAAAAACAAAACAAAAAGGGGGGAGTGGACCAACATAGAAAGTACGTATTTAATGAATACGTTTTTTGTGTAATTTAATTAGAAAACGTATTCCTTAAATACGTTTTTTACATTTTTTTTACAAAGGAAACCGTATTCACAGAATACGTTTTACAAATAAAAAATTCAAAAACCGTATTCACTGAATACGGCTTTTTTATTCTTGTCCACCCCTTTTTTCTTTCTTTTTTTTTTTTGTCCACCACTTTTTTTTTTATTTTT